CCCAATTGTTACAAAGACGCAGATATGGGTGGAGTATGTAAGAAATAAAATATGTTCTAGGCACAATGCAAGGCGATCCATTTTTACGGCCTCAGTGATTGTCTGAACAAATAAAATTTAAAATGAAATAAACGTAGTAAGATGACTTATGAAATCACCAAATTCTTAAAACTAAAATTTAAGAGCAGTATTATTAAATATTTAAAAGGTTCAGACTTAGACATGATTTTGTTCAGGGAAGAATCGAAGCAAAAAAAATACGTTCTTACTTATACTTCATACGAAAGCGAAGAAATATATGTTCTTCGAAGAGAATAGATATCTTACAGCGCATATAGGCAAAGCCATAAGATTTTATTTCTCAGAGTGAATCAAAGCAAGTGTATGTCATTGTGGAGGTGTTTTTACCATAGCACTTTTGTCCAAAGATGTGTTTTGTTGCTTGGACTGAATGAACAGAACAAAATAGTTTTTATAGTTTTAGGAGCACACTGTGCTAGATATCATGGATAAGCTGCTTCAGCAAACCGGAGCAAACTGGCCAGATGTAACCTTGAGTTTACATGAACCATCATAACAATAAACAAATATCTTTTAATCATATAATTGCTTTACTTGTATATGTTAAGTAAGCATTGTATGTATAATAAATATTAAATTTCTTGACTTGTGATTTCGTTGACCTTTCAAAGGTTATCCTTATAACGACCGCGAGTATATGAAAGCACAGCAGTGAAAAATAATGCCGCAGTCTGCCACCCGTCTAAGCACTTTCAAATGCAACAGAAAGTAAATCATCCCAAAAGTTGCATGCAGGCATTCGCAATTGACTTAAATTTATAATTGCGTGCACCGCCGATATTACTACCGAATAGTTTCTATAGAGCCTTCGAACGGTTCATCTTTGATGATCTTCTTTAATTCCTATTGTGGCTTTCTTGTTACTGCTCTTTTGGCTGTGAAGGTGGTTTTCGCTTTTCAAATATGGCGAGGTCCTGCAAATCTCATCGCTATCACTTCACATGCCATAAAATGAGCTTTAAAATTTGACCAATTTCTCACTAACTAGGGATGAAAGTCAGCTACTGTCATTGTTTTTTTCTGCCTCTAAAAACCGTCGGTGCTCCTGGATGTCATTGCTTTGACGATGTCAATCATATAGACGGAATTGTGAAAAGTAGTGTCAGTGAATGGTAAATGACTCTTAAAATCTGTCCGAAGACGGATAAGACCCATAACTCTGCAGCTTACCATATCTCTTTTCTGACGTCACTTTGCTCGTAATACTTAAATTTTATTGCAGAGAAGAACAAAAATACCAGATTTCATATGTTTTAGCCACGGTCTAATTTTCAAACCCATTAACCGGTAACTACCAATATTCAGACACTTAACTTTCGGCCAAAGATAAACTAAACACGCGTCTTCACGCCTCCTAAAACATCGCGAGACAGTGACGACGCAGAAACTTAATTATCGGACGCCTTCCTCCTCTCTCCACCTTTTCCCACTCTCTGATCCTTTGAGTGCTGAAATCCTTCACCCCTCTCCCCTGATTACTGATGATTGGATTTTTAAACCTTGGCTAAGTCTACCACTTCTTATATAACTGTAATTGCCTGAAAATGAAAAATCGAAAATTTACGGTCGCCAAAGTTGACTTCATTAGTGCCACGTATTTGAAATCTTAAGTGCCATGAAGTACGAATAAGCATCCGTAAGCTTACTTTGTGTACAGATGAGCCAACTGCTGTGAAGATTTTTGCCGATGGAGTTTTTAAACCTAGAGATGAAGAATAAAGTAAGTACATCCTTCTGGGTGCAACACCAAAGGGATACAGATTGCAATGGATTTAGAAGGCGTTTATGCCCCGAATACGCCGAAAATTGCCCTCAAGATGTTAATATCTGATAAAGTTCGCTAAAATCACCTCGATATTTGTAAGTTTTTGGTTGGGTGTTGGAAATGCCATGGGCCATCACTTGCAAATGCATTGCCTTGTTACATATTCCAATTGCATTATCCATAGGCCACTGTCTAGTTTCGGGGCACTGAACAATGCAGATGCGCTTGGACATCTTTCCGTGAAGTTACGGGCATCATTTCAGAGTTCTCCTAGTCGAGACAAAGGCCTGCTACAAAGCTAAAGGTATAGCCTCCAAATTTTCTGGTTTTCTGGAAGTGAAAATGGTTTTCCTAATTCTCGAACAAATATGAGCGCAAGAAAAGGCACTAACTAACATTTTCGATTTGCCTCCATTTTTAGTACAAGCTGCGCTAGGTTTTAAGGATTTCTGAACGTTAAATTAATCCCTTCCTCATTAGGCTTTCTTGAAGGAAGCTCTTTAATTCAAAAAATGTTTCTTTTTGTTTTTAAAAGTCTGTCACAGCCTAACAAGACTAATCATAAGACATTCTATCTGTTTGAACACTTGCTTACAAGTAAATGTGAAACACTTTCCTCTTGTTTTTATTTTCACTTTATTCAATGTAATTAAGGCAAAACTGACAATTTATTTTAGGCAAATAGGCTTACAGGTAGTTAAGGGCACCTTTTTTTCGTATTCCTCGTCGTTTTTCTTTTTTTCCGGTGGTTTTCTTGGAGTCGATTTCTTCCGCCTTTCTGAAGGAATAAACATCAACAACTTGCCACATAAATCTACCGGTATGTGCAAAAATTGCAGCTAATGGCAGCAAAGTGCCTGCTTTCTCTCAATCTTCTCTTGGCGGAGACAGCTTTCCAACCGGAAGCTCCGTAAAAGCATATTTACGCAAATGCACTGGATGTCTGGTAACTTTGTTAACTTAGTTTACGGTATCTGCGTAATTTCTAGGTCATTCTTTTCTGAGAGTTTAAACTCAGTGTCCCTATGAAAGTCAGACAAATTTGACCCAAATCACAAATTTTAGGAGGCTGAGATGGGATCGTGTGCGATTAGATTATTTCTCCTGTCTACGGACTTGCGATGTAAAAAGCGCAGTCGTCTAACACTCTTCGTGGTTGAATAAATTAAGCGGAAGGCGGAGTCCGTGTCTGAGTTCATAAAATGTTTACCTAAATCGTGAAACTTGTTTCTAACTGGGGGGAATAGATAAGAGGGGCTGTAAAATAAACTGGTCTGTGGGACAATCACGTAACATTTCAGACTGGCGAGGATGTTGGCTTTTGAATGCAGTTGTGCTTGACTGTCTGCGCAAACCATACTCAGTGGAGATATACTATCAATAAGAATGTTTTTTGCCACTGACCTCCGATTCGCTCATAAATTAAAATATTTTTTATAAATAATTTTTCCCAAAATATAGTTTCTTGCAGAGATGGCGTATAAAAAGATTTATTTCTCAAAGTGCTTTATCCCAGGAACAGCATCGTTCCATTTAAAAAAACGGTTTTTCACGTGGTTTTAAGCCTAGAATTTGTACGTTTTGCCACTAAGGTAAATTCGACATTTCTTAAAAAGAAACTTTGCAGTGCCCATACAACGTTATGATGGGTATGGTCTATATTGTCTTCTTCTGGAGGAGCAAAGAAGAGAGATATCATCATACTCGAATGGTGATACTAGTCTTAACAATTTCATAAGTAAACTGGTTTTATTCCGGAAGCGAAACCTTCCTGGAGTATAAACTGGAAAATAGGCGATTTCATATCTAATGAGTCTAGAAAAGGATACTTTAGACGAGTTTTCTAAGAAAATATATCTGAAGTACTCGAATAGTGATATTAGTCTTAGCAAGCTCATAAGTAAACTTTTTCTAACGGCAAGCAAAACTTTCCTCGTTTTTAAACTGGAAAATAGGCGATTTCAGATCTAATGAGTCTAGAAAAGGATACGTTAGACGAGTTTTCTAAAAATATATCTGAAGCACTTTTTTAAATCTAGTGTGATTTTTTGCAGGCAGCCGAAAAGAGACCCATTTATAAGCAGATCTCCTGGCGTTTCTGCAATACTATGGAATTATTTTGCATGAAGGCTAATATGAAAAAAAACTTCTGAACCGATACTTCTTAAACGCAAAGCCGTTTAAGAGATGTAAAAATTCCCATAAGAGAATTCAGAAGACCAGTCTGGCCAAAGTAAGTGCACTTTAGATAAATTCTCTTCAGGCCAATACATTTATACGAGAGGAGTCAAT